AGGACCGATGTCCCCATCCTATCTATACTCTACTACTAGCCTAGACCGACCTAGACCGGACTGACTGACCGACCGGTACCGTTTCTGTTTCAGCCTCTAGGGCCTCTCCCTACTCGGCTATAGGCTATAGGACCGTCTATCAGCGTAGGCCCATAGGGCCTGTCTGTCCTAGGGGTAGCCCGGGTCTGCTATTCGCAGTTAGGGTAGCTGTAGGAAAATCAAGTTAGTACTGGGCCCATATTTCTATATTTACAGATACGTCCCTCACGATTTTTCCATACAGGCAGGTCCTCGGTTAGTCCTCAGCCAAACAAAATTACGAATCTGTCCCTAACAATGGTACAGCCTCGTCAGAGTGAGGCTACAGACAACCTGGAACCAGCAAGTCGTTGCAACAGCGCCATCTTCACAGGTTAGTACCTGGCATATGAGAGAGAGAGAGTTCTTCTTCTTCCTCTTCTCAGTCCACCATCTCCTTCTCACCCTCTCGCTATCTGACTTCACTGCATCAGCAGACTACGAGAGAGAGAGAGAGAGAGCTTGGTGACATTTGGATCCAGACTCGACATTGGACTTCAGACATTTTGAAGAGGGATTATTTGGGACTTGTAACGAGACTTGGTGTTGACGACTTTCCCATCTCGCCCTTACTCTTCTTCGTCTGATCCCCTCCTCTTCGTCTGTGTATGTCTAGACCTGGCGCCTCCTTCCTGTGTATAGCGCCAGGCTACATCACACCTTGTCATGAGCATGATGTATGTTTGGTCTGCATTGAAACATTGAGTGGGCTAGTCCTTAGTATTCTAGCATTCTGTTTCGCTATCTTGAACAACGTGAAAGAGGTCAGTCCCTGTCAGGTCAGGGCTTGTATCTAAATCTTCCACTGAGCTATAAAACACCATTTTGTATGTATCGGAATGCACATTGCTTGTTGAGATTCCACTTGCACTGCATTGTCCATTCAGTCCTTTTTATCACATTGCGGATCCTCGGTTTATATGTACATCGCCCAACTGGGCCTGTAACACTCAGCTCCCCAGCAATAGATTGGAGAAATTTCTCTTTTTCTTGGCAAACTAAGGGAAAAAAAACAAGTTAGAGAAAATTGACCAATCTGACAAACAAAATGCCAAAGCCGGAAAAAAAAAGGAAAAAAAAAGGAAAAAAGTTCAAAATTTTCAAAAAAGCCGAAGTCGACAAAAGGGGATAACTTGCAAAATCGGAGCTATGGAATTGACTTCACTTCAAGAGAGGATCAAGGGCTGAAACCGCCCCCACTTTCACTCCAAGGTACCTGAGGATCATGCGTAGGGTTTTGAACTGTTTATATATTTTGTGAGGAGAAAACATTAATAAGAACACTACACGTTGCTGGGGGGAAGGAAGGGGGGTGGGGGGGGGGCGCTGTGAGGGGATGGGGAGGGGGAGGAGACAGGGAAGTACACACCTCGGCTTCAAGTTCCTTGACCATTACAAGAACCTTCTGGAAATCCTCCCTTGCCTGTTGGCAATCACAAATAATTACAAGTAGCAAGCGGTCTGCTGTCAGTTCATTTTCAAACATTTGAAATTTTAAAGTTAAGGGAAAAACTTTAAGCCCAACAGCACAACGTCCTCCTGAGCATCCATCAGAATTGGAATGATAATAGGATACAAAGAGGACTAGCATGAGAGGAAAAAAAAGGGAATCAACAGCACAATCCAGCAAATACTTTAAGACAGCTTCAGTGCTTCAATGTTCACAGTTCAGATGTTGCATACTGTAACGGTGCAGACCAGAACAAGAACCGACCTCTCAATACAAAGTACAAGATAGCGTAGCGGAAGACATAGATACCAATGATCCGAACAATCAATAGTGCAATGCAGCCCCGAACATACATCATCATCGTCACTCCATGGTGTGAAGGAGTCTGGCGCTCACACAGGAAGAATGCGCCAGCCCCAACCATACACAGACGAAGAAGAGGGGGGGTAGACGAAGAAGAGGGGAAGATGGGAATGTCGTCAACACCAAGTCTTCGGCACAGGCCCAAATAGTCCCTCGTCAAAATGTCTGAATCCCAATGTCGAGTCTGGATCCAATGTTGTCAAGTCTCAAGTCACAACTCTCTCTCTCTCTCTGTCGTAGTCCGCTGATACTGAGAAGTCAGGTAGTGAGAGGGTGAAGAAGAGATGGTGGACTTAGAAGAGGAAGAAGAAGAACTCTCTCTCCCTCTCTCTCAGTCCGGTACTAACCTGTGAAGCTGGCGCCTTGATGCAGGTACCTCGAAGATGGAGCTGGAGCTATGGCGCCACAGGTAAGTCTCGCTGGCCTCCGCCAGCCATCTCTCTCCAACACTACTACTACAACCTATTAGCGCCCAGCGCTGAAGACTACTGCTACTGCTACTAGCCCCCAGTGCTGGAGACTACTGCTAGCGCTAAGCTGCTCCTGCAGCGCTCCTCCAGAATGCTGCGGCCGAATCCTGAAGACTACTTCTGCCTTCTGTCCAACTACCTCCCCGTGAAGTGCATAGAAACTCCCTATGTACTACTCGGCCTACCTCCTGACTGCCTGCAACTGCAGGGCGAGGCAGTCCAGGAGGCTGCTCTTGCTAATGCCAGGGCGAACCAGGGGCTGGCGCTGCAGCTCCTGCTGAGGCTGCCGTGGGGAACAGGCCAGAAATAGCCTGTTCCCAAAACCCTGGTTTTGTGCCTGAGTGTTATGAGGGCCCGAAAGTGGCCCTCCGTTTCAGGCTGAAAAGACTCAGGGCTGAAGATCCCTGTTTTAGGCTGAAAACGAAATAGGGCCTGCAGGCCCTCGTTTTCAGTTTTCAGGCTGAAATGACATGGGGCCTGTAAGCCCTTATTTCTAGGCTTTTAGGCTGAGAATGCGGGACGGGCCCTGCAGGCCCGTGTGGCTACGCAGTATGCCACAACCCCCCCTCCTTGAAAGACCGAGCTTACCTGCGAGGGCGAAGCTGTCTGTCTGAGGGAGGGACCACAGTCCGGGTGGGAGGGGCAGG